TGAACCAAGTGGGAAATAGCAAGGCAGGCACAAAAGGTTTGCACCAGGTCTGGGGACACAGGGGACACCGTCTTAAAGGGGCCGTGTCCCCAACAAGTCTGGGGACACGGCCTAAAAGGGGCAGTGTCCCAATCTTCCTGATGTCCCAAAAAAGGTGTTTAAAGGGCCAGCACCAGTCACATAAAGAGTCCATAAGCCCCAATATGCCCACCGACGGTCTTAAAGGGCCATACACACCAAATAAAAGTGCATACATTTTCACAATCTCCCAGGGGCCATAGTCATGCGGGAGGAGGCTGGCAAATAGGCTTCTCCACAACCCAGGGAAGCAGGGCAATTTGCCATTTAAAGGGCCCGCTACAAATAGCAGTTTGTAACAAGGTGTCAATCCATATCTGCCAATGACCCGATGTAGGGGAACAGTCCCTATTCTGCTCTGTGTCAGTGTGTATCAGGGATCCTTAGGACAGGTGTCAATCCATATCTGCCAAGTGACCCTATGTAGGGGGACCAGTCTCTATTCTGCTCTGTGTCCGTGTGCATCAGGGGCTCTGAGGACAGGTGTCAATCCATATGTCAAGGTGTCAATATGTCATATGTCAGGTGTCAATCCATATTGATTGTGATTTAGGAATGTTAGGTGATTTCTGCCCTTTATGGATTAAAACCAGACTCTGTATCAACTGTGTAATTTTCCATGGGAGTTTTGCCATGGATCCCCCTCCGGCATGCCACAGTCCAGGTGTTAGTCCCCTTGAAACAACTTTTCCATCCCTATTGTGGCCAGAAAGAGTCCCTGTGTGTTTTAAAATTCGCCTCCCCATTGAAGTCAATGGCGTTTCGGGCGGTTCGCCGGTTCGCGAACATTTGCGGAAGTTCGCGTTCGCCGTTCGCGAACCGAAAATTTCGGGTTCGCGACATCACTACCTATGAGTAGATAGCTATTACAGACAAGTTGAATTCTATGTTTAATATACATTATTATGTTGTAGAGAGGATAGAGTCAAACTTTTACAGCTGTTATAAAGTCAATGGACATACAACAGCTGTCAGAAATGACGGCCATACTATATTATAGGTGACCTTCATTGTAGCATGCCTCTGATAAATCATAGAACAATGCATAGGATATAGTATTAACACGATACCACAAACATTTCTTTTAAACAGCACCTGTGTCCTGTTCTCGGGTTTCTGTATAATTTACCAGTAACAGGAAATCTACAATAGAAGTGCACAATCGTGAACAGAGACAATATTTCTTAGTATTTGATATCCTGGATGCACCTTTTTGTATCATATATGTCTACACATGTTTTTTTCATTTTATAGGCTACTGATGATGCTAATGCTATATTGGGCACATATGCTATTGGCATAGTGCAGTGAAGGTAACCGTTGCACGCAAGTTTAAAAGAAGTTTATTCCTTATTATTACAAATCTAACACACAAACATATGGAGTGCCAATAGAAGCCACCGCAGCACTACGCTAATGGGCATTATGTCTTGCAAAAATACACGGTGTCATGTGATCTTTTGATGCATGTTTTTTGTTGGCCAACTACCTGTAAAAAAATCATCAAATGAATGATGAACTTTTTGACTGAAAAATGTTCACGACCTATGTGCATTCAAACCACAGTTAGCAGTTTTGTAGTTGTTGCCACTCAACACAGGTTCATTCAAAATGACCTCTAATAAAACATCTAACTGTTCTCCTATACACAACTATTGCTGTGTTTGTTGAATGCCTGCATGGAAGGCATTCTAACATTCTTGACTACAATATCCACGATTTACTAAATGACAATGTCTGGTCTTTCAAACCAAGCCAGAGATTGAGGCTGTTCACTGGATCTCAGCTATTGTGCTGCCCAGACTCCCGGTGAAGATCTGCAGATATATCTCCACTTAAGTACCAGCAGTAATAGCAATTTTGATGCTTTGCAGGTTTTTATAATCAATATTCTACCTCTTGTGTTTCTCTTTCTTTGCATGGAATAGATACACAGAACATGGGGAATAAATGAGCAGTAGAATTATATAGTTGATGGTATTCAATGACTCCTGGAGTATTTGGCTTGCCCGTACTGCATGAGGCTGACAGTTTGATCAGTGAGGCATAAAAACTAGAGAATTGGAAACCTCAGCTTGTCAGGCCCTGGTGCATCCCCAGAGAGTGCTAGAGATGTGTGTTTGCAGAAGCAGTCAGTAAGGGGAAATTTGGTGGAGAAGAAATAAGAGTAGATCAAACAGTAAAACACAAGCATGTCACTTGAACCATGCTCATGTGGATCTAGAACGGATTTTTAAAACAATTATACCATAATTTGGTTTTTTTAGAAACTATCGTAATTTCGATTTTTAATATTTGTTAGATAATCTTTATTTCATATTAAATGTATTTAAAGATAACTAAAAAACATATATATTCCAATAGACTCATGAAAAAATGAGCAAAATACAGTTCAGTCATGGTGATATGATAAAGTTCCCAGTTGCAATTCCCCAGCTCAAGATAGCATGTATCAAAGAAATGCCAAGCATTCGCATGTTTTAAAGCATTTTCACAAGATGTATAGTAATGTTTTAATCCAAGGACTTTGAACAAGATGGTCATAATAGCACTGAAGAGTAAAGTCTGATACATTGAAATTTTGAACATACTTTGCTTCTTTATCTTCTATTTCTGTCTGTTAAACACATATCTCCATGTGGGAGATAACACAATGGGGAAACAAACTTAAGTTTCACTTGCAGAACTCTCAAAGTGAAGCAATCGTCATGGAGACCATTGACGGGATCAGTTAGAAAAGATGTGCATTGATTGGATGTTTCAACTGATGAACTTTGTTCCACAACAACTTTTGTTAGATAGACATAAATGGTCACTCCACTGCTCAAATACAAAATAAATAAATAAATCACTGTTGAGCAGATATACCCCTAATAAAAACATGCATGCCTCTAATTGTGCATTTTTTCCATTGGGGTTATATCTAAAAACAGAGTGCAAAAGCTGCAGATCTCTTGTCCAATCACAGACTTCCCAATGTTGCTCACGGAGAAGGTTTTGCACGGCAAGTGCTCTGAACAATTGCCTGCCTCTTGAATGTATCTCCACTGAAATAAACTATCGAAATCTGCATTTTTTGTAAAATAAAAAAAGATGAAAAATAAATTAAATCTGGACTTTTCTTAAATAAAAAAAAAGCAGACATACTTTTCACACATGAAGCACTTCAGGCAGGTGAAGTGCTTTAGGAGGTCGGGATTGTCCCTTAAAGGCATATTTTATTTGTAATCATGTGTACTATGGGTGGAATGGGTGAAATATGCGTAGTGCTTAGTATTCTCTTTATCTCTGGACAACTGTTTCTACTAGACTTGATAGAATTGCTTTGGGCTGAACTGCAGTTTGGAGGAATTTGGGACAGGCGAGTGATTGGCCGTATTCCTGAATGTGCGCAATGTCGAACATGTTAAGCTTGTGGTTCATGATTTTGAATCACCCCAAAACAAAAGATTGATGGGGAAAAAAAGATGATTAATTGCTAGGGGACAGTCACTAAATGCTCATTTTATTCACAGATCAACTGAGAAGTGAAAGATTAGAGGGACAAAAAGAGAAGCAGTAAAATAATCTCTATATATCATAATATAAATACAGGAGCTAGGGGCATGTCCCAGCCAATCACTTTGTAACTTGAATATATTAATAAGTTCAACAGATACAATTATTAATCATGATTAAATGGAGCATGCAGATATTATCATAGTTTATTGTCAAAATGATATGTTTATAAGAATGTTGTTGTTTGAATAAAAATGTGTTGCACTATCTTTATTTTTACTTTTACTATTACATTGTTCTTCATGGTAAGGCACGAAGATCCGGGAGAATTATGTATTGGTCGGCATAGTAAGAATAATTTGATCCAATAACTTATATAATTACAAATCTACAGTGCTCCAGAACCAGTAGTGGTCGGGCAACCACATTTGTACACATTGCTCTATTTGCCTTTTGATATCTCTTGTAACCCTGGATACTACATAGTTTAATACTTTATTTTATGATTGCCTTGTGTTATCAGTTTACTATTTTGAATATGATGGTGGACATAGATCTCACGCTAAAGAATGACTTCTTTTAACCTATCATTTGGATTGTGTTTTCTTTTTTTTTCACACTGAATTTTCTTGAATTAGCTGACTCTTAAGTAAGAATAGTATTGTGCTAAGTAATCGATAACTCTCTACCATGTTTTATAATTCTTGTTAAGTAGTACGTAGCTTGTAGTATTTTTTCTTAACTATCTGTACTGTTTGAGACACAGTCCAAGCTTATCAACATTCTATAACAATGTCTATCCATTCTTAAATACATAAACGGAATTTAAATACATAAAGGGAATCGACACAGTAAAGGTGGATACTATATTTAAAAGAAGAAAAACTACCACAACAAGAGGACATAGTCTTAAAAAAGAGGGGCAAAGGTTTAGAAAAAATATTAGGAAATATTATTTTACTGAGAGGGTAGTGGATGCATTGAATAGCCTTCCAGCTGAAGTGGTAGAGGTGAAGGAGTTTAAGCATGCGTGGGATAGGCATAAGGCTATCCTAGCTATACAATAAGGCCAGGAACTAGTGAAAGTATTTAGAAAATTAAGCAGACTAGATGAGCCAAATGGTTACCTGCCATCACATTCTATGTTTCTATGTTTCATTTTATTCTGGTTGGAAAAGATCAATGGAGTAGTTGGAAGAAAGGATAGTTACCCAGCAGTTGTGGAACTACTATGAAGCTTTCCTCCCAGTAGAAATCTGTAATCTTTCTTAAGACACACTACTCTGTAAAACGTTTGTTCTTTGCAGTCATAGCAGAGTGTATGTTGAAATATGAGTGTATGTTGAAATATTTCTGTAATTTGATGTGTAAATTGTAACATTTTGATATTATATATGTATATATTTTGTCCCTTTTATGTATAGGAAGTGACTTCTCTGGGAGCCCATACAGCCATCCTCAGTACTCTTCATATAACGATTCTTGGAGATTCCCCAATCCTGGTTTACTAGGTGAGTTTACTTCTAGCTTACAATACAGTATGGTTTCTGTCTCACCGGAGGGGAAATGTGAGACTCTTCATTTCATCTACCACTGTTCATACCTGTAAATTGATAATACATCTAGTTGAGTGCATATTTTAACAGCTACCATTAGTTGATAAAAAAATACACCATTATGTCTTGCTCTCCAAGTACAAATATATCCAATCTATGGACACTTTAGCCTACTAAAACTAAAATTCCTGACCATAATCTTAAAATTCCTAATCCCAATCCCTAACCTTATTCTTACCATCTCTTACCCTAACTCTAAAATGTTTAAATTTAAAATTCCTAAAACCTAACTCTAGTTTATTTTTTTGGGATCCTGACTTAGTTTCAAAGTGTCAAAAGTAACTAAAATATGATAGGTGTAGAAAGTTCCAAACTGGCCCACCTCAAAATGGCAAGGTTTAAATTGTTTATCTTCCCACAATGAGATAAAACATATCTATGGGCATCATTGCAAATATGTTATATAATACATATCTAAATTTATTCCCATCCAGTTTTTATTTAAAAAAAGGCAATCCATGCCAGTAATGTATGCAAATATTTATACAACGCATATGGATCTCTGCAGGCTTAGTTGCCTTGTTTTCTCTGGAACCGTTTTGAGGCATCACCTCATGGCCGACCGGTCAAAACTTAATTTGAATGGCGTTCCCAAACCACCAAAGGGATCTGAGTGATATCTTGGCAAAGTGTGCGCTCAGATTCAAGCTATTTGGTGACTCTTAAGGTGTTCTGAAGTTATTAAAATTGATTATTGGGGTGTTTTAAAATATTGTAGATTTTTCTGTGCCTGAGAGATAATTAAGTTATGGCTTTTTCTCACGCAATTATCTCTCAGGCACAGAGGATCCTGGGAAGAAAAGCCCTGTAATTGTGACTAAGAAACCCTATGCTAGGGACAATGTGTAAAAGCCGTGTTTGGCAGGAATAAAACCAGTTATGCTCCCAGAACTGTGTGTCATCCAATTGCTGGGGAGGAGGTGGGATATTTACTCGGCTAGTTCTTGTTCCTGAGTTCCTGATCATAGCAGAGGGAGAGTCCTGGTCAGGACTAAAGCTCTGCTACAACTTCCTCCTCGATAAATGTGAATATAAAAATAAACTGTCTCCCGTTGTATACCTTCTTGTTATTAGATGCCATTTAGTTCATATTTTAGATACATTATTCATTCTAATAACATTAGGGTAATGTTGCTATCAGTTGGTGTAATGTTGAGAAGTACATTATAAAATAATTATATTGTTTAATGTTGACAAGCTTTAATGAAATAGATAATATAATATAAAAATTAATTATATCATGGAATCACTGAAACAACTATAATATTTGCCATGGGATTCACTGCAGTGTCACATCAAGGTAATGGTGATCTTTGGACAGAGCTTTAGAATATATCCCACTACCTCTGCTTCTTTAACATGAGCTAAATAAAATGAATTAATTGACAAAAAGAAATATGCATAACCGAATAAAACCCCTGGGAATAGAAACATTTAAATCCACTGATACAATTATGGACATTATTAGTTTTTCTATAACGTATTAATATAAGGCAATTGGAATTTTTTGCCCATATGGTCTATAATGGTATCTATAAATTCTGTTTTCCTTCTGGTTGTTGGCCTTGTTCTATTTTTAATATCTTAAAACTATTTGATATTGTTCACAAGACATATGCTATTAATTCTTATTTATGGGATATTGTCTTATGCTATATGTCCATATAATAGTTTTTGGAAAATATACAAACACTGCTTCATGAACGAAGCAGCATATTGTGTTTTTAAGTGCACTTTGACCTTTGACCATATCTTGTCATGTGAGTCTTTGTTGTTAAGTCATTTTCAAGACTTATCAATGTAAAAGACACAAAACACCTTTAACACCACTGTCAAAATTAGTCCACTTTGACTTTGCATAAAATAATTAGGACTTTTCTGCATAATTTGCACAAGTCAGATAAGTAGAAATTCCAATTAATTGTCACTTCTCAAATATATTGCTATTGCCCAAGAGGTTTTGTGATTTCCTGAAGACTAAACTCTCTGAACTAGCTTACATAAATCATTTTTTGTTTCTTTCCATAATTTTTTTTTGTATGTAAATGATATCCCCTAAATGTGCAGTGTAATATAAATAAAGAAAACTAAAGTGCAAATATATAGATCAATATATAAATAGAATTAAAATTAATGGAAAAAATATAATATATTTCATATGCTTCTGATACATATTGGTTTTGATTTACTGAAGTGTAAAATATACTTTGATTTAATGTGATGTTCTTTTAGGAAACACGTACCCGTCTTGTAAATTGGGAGTGATTTGGAGCTGTAGTACATACATAGACTATAGGAAATTTTTTAACACACACATGCTGAAATCAGATAATGGCAACTATTGTCTAATGAAGAAAAATGACTCAATTTCATGCTGGTTTGTTCTAATAACTTCTTCACCATTCCCCTTCATTACGTTCCAACTTGATATTCATCATTAAGGGTTGTATTTGATACACTGTTCCTGTTTCTTTTATTTATTTATTTACTGAATTCAATTTATGTGTGCAAATGCTACTGACAGGAAATATCACGTGTATGTTATACATTATACGTAATGTATTATTCTGGTAAGAAAATTATTTGTTTTAAAAAATAAAAGTCCCCCCACCTGCTGTGACTGTTCAACACTTAAAAAATCTGTTCAAACCCAATGATTGCTTTTCCAAAATGCAAAATAAAGTCTAATAGAGTGTTTTCTCTGGTCCTAATTTGGGTTTTTAAAACCACAATCACATTATTTATTAATAAAACCTTAAAATTCAGCATCCACTGGTGATCTGTGGACTGCAGTTTAAGAACTACTGAAATCTACTGAAGTCATTCTCAAATCATACATGTGAGTAATAAATGATCAAGCATCAAAACATTTATTGAACAGTAGTAAAGAACGAATTCCTCTCATTGTCAATTACCGCTCACATAGCATATTAATACATTCTTGAACAAGGAATAGTTCAGTATTGAAATAACAGAGAGGTTTTTATGTTACCTCCTAGAATAAATTTTTATTTAAAAAAATATATTCTTAAGTCAGTAGTTTAGCAACAGTTTGCCCATTACCTGGGTCCCCGCCAGACTCCGATGCTCCAATGATGTGGTTCTGGCTTCTATAGAGCCACATAAGCAGGAAGCCGCGGCGGTCGTCATTTATTGGCAGAGAGCATCAGCTGACCACTTTTAGCCAATGACTGTTATTCTGTGCAAAAAAATTCATGCACAAAATTCACATTAACTAGCCCAAATTCTAGTTCCGGACTGGCTGGTGACATCCCATGATGCTGCCAGAGGTGGAGTTGCATCACAGGCTGCAGAGGGGTTAAAGTCTGTATAGTGCAGCTTTTCATGGCGGCATGCTACACATCGAATTTGTAGTAAATTCTGAAAAGAAATACACTATAGTGCAGATTTTCCTTATTAATGAAATAGTATTTTACAAGTACATATGTGCAGGGGTTACACTCACATGTACCAGAGCCCTATTAAACCTGGCTCTGGGTGAGAAATGATCTTCTTTGAGAGAGAATAACTCCCACACCACTCAGGCAGCCAGACTGTGGATTCCAATAGTGGCAATCTTTTTAATATACTAATGCTTACATCCAGCATTGGTGGGCACACACAAGTAGTGATCCCACATTCAAGCAGATCGCGGCAAAAAATGCTGACTTTTAGATTTACTTCTGGGTTTTGCCAAGTGCCCGGTCTAAGCTGCGCCTCCCAATGACGTTTAAGTGACGCATTTTTACCCGCCTCTTTTCCTCCGGGCTTCATCAGATTGTTTGGATAGCAAATGTACTTGGTATCCTTCATAATGTGATGGATTTACTATACAAGATGTGTTGAGATTGCAACTGATTTGGAAAATAGTGGAAGAATATCAGTTTTAGGAAAATTCCACTTCTACTATTTTAGACGATTTTTATTGTTAATACAACATAACACAGCCCATTTAGTAGGATATTATGTCCACTATAGTATTGAATCGCCAAAACTCTGAATTTTACTCTAAAAGGAAAGAAAATACTTTATTGAAAGAAATAAAAGACTGGTATTTCAAACAGTGCTACACTTGTCTGTATATCTTCCTATATTATATTAATTTGCAAATTAACATTATACATATACAACAACACAGTTAAAAAAACACAAAAACTAAAAAAGAAATGTGCCCGAGTTACAGCAGTTCTGAAAGATTGTAATTTTAGAATTAGCTCTCACTAATATTACACACATTCTATACATTTTTGCTTTCATTTTCTCAAGGATGTATGCCAATAGTTGTTACCAATAACAATGATTTAAAAAAAATGTCTCAAAGTATTTTAACTTGATTTTGAACTTGACCCAGTTTTTGATACCATCATTAAATATTTGTAAAAGTCAAATGTGAAAGCTAATACAAATGCTTGTTATGTTTTTAAAGAGTAGCTATGTATTGGATATTGGTAAAATATATATGTTGACTTATTAACCGTGAAACATTGGGTGTAGTAATATCTGTTAACCACGTGTGTACAAAACTGATATGTTTACAGCAAAATGCGTCAGTCATGGGCGCTAGAATCAATGGCTAATGCACCATCTGTAGAACCCATTGAAATCTTGAATTGAAAATTCAATCCCAACTATAGATAAATTAGTCTTTCATGCACCTGAGGTCAAAATGACTAAATGAGTACTATTTCATTGGCCAGTAATTTTTACAACACAGGACATAATTAAAAGTAAACACATTTTCAATTAGAATGCAAGAATAACATTTCTGATTCAAACCTGATTACTGTATGGGAGGAGGGAAAAGGGGCACACCAGTTTCAATTCCCTTGCAGTGATGTAGAGGGACATTAACAAGCTTTGCTGCTCTGCTGTATGAATTTAAGTTCTAGCCAAAAGGGGAGCAGGAAAGTGGGTCTTTATGGGCTTAATATGGCCGAATACTATATATTTTGTTAATATTATTTAATTTCACCTACAATGTTCTAAATGTTCTTGCTTACTTCTTTCTTATAGGTTCTCCATATTATTATAGTGCTGCCCGTGGAGCTGCGCCCCCTGCCACTGCCACCGGATATGACCGCCACTGACATAATACGACAAACACTTAAGCACTTAATTATACATATATCTTTTGCGGAAATCATACAACAATAAAAAAATAACATTGATGAAATGTTTGAACATGAAAATATGAAATATGTCAGATTGGCAAAATGAATATTTCTTCTCCAACATCTTTTTTTCTATCATGCAAGATCAACTAATTTCAAGCTCCGGACAGTGTTGTTCTTTTGACAATGTCATCGCAATGTTCATTATGAAGCCTGAAAAAAAAATGGTGAAAATGTGAGCTTGGTTATCCTGGGACAAATGAAAAACAGATAACCAATGCACTTGATTATGTTGTACTTATTATACTTCTTACTCGGGCTTTGATCTTCTTGGTCGAAAGAGGTCTAACCTACGCATAGAGGCCCCATTGTAAATTATATGCTTCTTTGTGATACTTATGAAAGTGTTTTAGCATAAACAGCAACATGGTGAATGTTTGTAATTCAGAATGCTTACAGCACACTATCTTTTATAAAATGCTGCACTGATTCATGGAATTCAGTAAGCTTTAACCAACCGTTTAACCAGGTTACATTTCTTATGGCAACAATTTGGGCAGATGTTAATGTCTGTGTGTGTGTGTGCGTGTGTGTGCATATCTGTGTGAAAGTCATTCAGTCCTATCCATTGATTTTAGATTCAATAAAGAGGTTGTTCGATAACTAAATATATTTTTTGTTTTTATAAACAAAAATTGAAAAAAATCTGTTCTGTTCTGTCACTTTCACACCAAGCACACAACTGAAAAATTCCACACATTTTTATTGCATCAGATCTAACTTTATGTGGGGGAAAATATATTTTTTAACAAATTAACAAATTAACAAAGTAACAACAAAGGATGGATTTCTAAAATATCATTCTTTTAGTGTAGATTCTGATAAATTCAACGATAAGCCCTGGATCACCAAAAAAATACAAAATAAGGCAAAATATAAAGTATACTCAAAAGAGTGAAAAATTATATATAACTTATTTTAATACAATATTAATTTATGTTCTTATTAACATATTCCATTACTGTGATCACGAATAGTTTTGTTCTCTGTTAGTAGGAGTATTTGAGTGCAAATGTTCCTGAACCCTTTCCGCTCTTGAATAATATCATCATATGAAGGTACCAGGGCGTTTCATTATGCAACTATGCCTGAGAAATCTGCAGTATGGGATTTTTGTTCCATTTAGAGTATATTACAAAATCACTTTGTAAATGCTGCCACCACTTGCATTGTGCAACGGTGCCTAGTTTTGTAAATGAATTCTCAAATAGAGACAAATGCTATACAATGCATCTACTTAGCTAACATATAAGGTCAAATCCCTCTACTCGTCACTATTTATTTTTTAGATACAATGCAGCGTAGAATGTGTTTAAATGGATTACTTATTTTTTTATGGTGTTCTTTCCCATAAAGACTGTGGAAAAGACCCATGAGATATTTGATATTTGAATCAGAGATAGCCTGTTTCGTTTAAAGTAGCTAACATAACACTGCTTTCAATGTATTGCGTTAAAGTAACAATTCACACTATATCTATTTCATTTTTAAATATGAGCTAATTAATTGTTAAAAAGTGAACATTTCTTTGAAAATACTACATGTACTCAGAATCAAAACTATATCGTAATTCATGGCAAATTGAGCATTCTTTCAGCTTAATTACAAAATTATCATGCATTTTAAATTCAAATCTAGGAAGAACATCGAGAGAAAATCCAAAGAAGGAAAGATCTTAGAATCATTTAAGGTGTTCAGTTAACAAAGTCAAACAAAGCTTATTAACTGCAAATTGGCAATGGCAATATTTAACTTTGTATATTTAAACATGAATGACATAAACGTACAAAATCCAGGAGACACATTAATGCAATACAACCTGGCATTGTATTTGTGCATACAGGATCTAACAAACTAGTTCATCCCATTAAAAAAATAATACATTAATAAGCAGAATTTAGTAATTCAAATTTGAGAAATAACATCAATTTGCATGTCCGTTAGTTGGTTAAGCCATAGATACATAACTGTGTAAGAGGTGGAACCCTGTAATTATTATTGTAGCCCTAATGCGTTTTCTAACCATAAAATAGTACACAATTATCTTTGAAAGACTTGCGATGGCATAATTAAACAACTTTATTATAAAATATAAACTGGCATAGATGGCCTAAGTTGAAGGGCATTTAAAAGCAAACGTCAAACACTATTGGTTTAAAACATTTGGGAGATGCCAATGATACATCATCTTCATATCTATTAATTGCGATGGAATATAATTTCCTTGCAGTTCATTGTAATAATAATGATGATAATTAAATGAGAAGGTTAAACACGTAAGACTCTACTCCATGTGAATGGTTCATTACTGAAAATGTTTTTTATTGGAATTATATCATCGAATTAAAAAGCATTATAGGTGCTACAATGCATTTTTAGTTTTGATCTTCACATTTTACTTTGCAGAGCACATTATTACAGTGTGTTCAACAATACCTGTGTAATTGGTACATTTTGTTACCTATAGGTAGATGTAGTTGTTACTCATTTTTTAATCAAGACAGAATTCAATTCTATCTTATTACAAACATTTAATGGGGATCTATTGCATCCCGGGATTTTTAATATTACGTTTACTCAGCGCCCATATTTAAAAAAAATATGTGCCTGTGTGGTCTGAAAAATAAAATTCAATGTAAAAATCTACATCATTGTACTTTACTCACATAATTTGTAGTGGAGGAGAAACAGAAAGAATATTTCTGTTTATCTTTCATCTATGCAATGTGTGCACTGATTATGCCTAGACTGTATTGCAAAATCTCAATTGCTAAATCTTTAATACATATATAAAAAAGGTACATCAGATGAAAAGAAAAGATACAACACAAGGTATAGATGAATATCAATGCTTTATTTAATAGTGTAATTCCCATAAAAGTGATTGCTCCCCTGTAATATGCAGTATTTGGGCTAGTCTCTAAAATAGATTACCAATAGATATCGGTTGAGTTCCAATTATTTAAGTTTTAATAAAGCATCATATATTTATACCACACAGAAAATTGCATCTGACCTGATAGTAAACATTGTTGTGATAGAATGATGATGAGAAAATATATATTGCAAATTTAGGATATTTAATATATAATTGACATTAATGCTTTCCATTGCCCTAATATGTTAATTCCTGATATTTTTATATGATAATATGTCTGCTAAAACTAAATTTTAGGGAGTTTAATTTGCTTAATATTGCCAGTATTTGATATGGTACTGAGTGCTTTTTACAAAAGTGCTTTTTGAATTCAGTATTCTCTAAGTAACTTTAAGTACTTAAAAGTTTAGTCCCCACATGCTTCAATGAGAACTTGACTTTAAAATGGAGTTCTACTTTAACAATTGCGTTGCACTTGAGTTAGCCTTTGATTTAATTCAAGTTGGTGGCAAGATCCACAAAGACGAGCTAATTTGGGGAGTTGGTTTCTTGATGTCCACCTACCAAGTTGTTTAAACACCTGAGAAATCCAAAGTTTGACTCACGGATATTTTAATACACCTAAGAAGTAAGCAATTTTGGATTATCAAAACTTTAGCCCACATCGTCTAACATGACTTTTATTGAATAAAGAGAAACTATGTTTTATTCCAATTTTTATGAAGCATGGTTATAATATTACAAACCCATTTTGTTCTGGCTTGTGTCATATACTTATCTCACCAAATATTACTCACTTTTAGATAACTTATATGTTAATTCTTAAAAGTTGACATATTTTATTGTAAAAATCACAATGTCAAAACATTTTTGGAAGGATTACTAAAATGACCCTAGACTCATTGTGCACATAAGGATATTTCCAGCACATGGTTATCATTCAGTTTAGCATTTCTTTTAATTTTGTGAAATCCAATAGTGCATTGTTCATTTATTCTTGGTTGCTTGTGTATAAACTTCAAACAGTGTTAACACATTTTGCATCAAGAATGAGTTTGCCAAAATATGACAAGATTTATTACAACGGGGTAAGGTGACGTGAGGCCCGCAGTACATATGCAGATACTACCACATTAATTTGTTTTGTTTTAATTAGTAGGTGAATTGGAAACTGCTGTTAATTTGTGGAAACTAAAATTGTTTACTGAGTTTTGTTAACTCATTTTACTCATATTGAGATTTACTGTAGCCTGGTTTTCACATTCTAGTGGCCTTGTACATTTGTAAAATATGAAAAACAAGCTGCATTACAAGACTGGATTTCCTTTTTTTGAAAAAAAAAAGTGAAATGGAGCCTTTTACATCTGATAAGTACACATAGAGTATCTGCCAAAGTTTGTGATGGCTGTAAAATGAAAGTTTACTTATAAAAGAAAAAAAAACAACATGAAACTTTTGAAAAAATGCCTTTGAAAATTGGGATTTAATTATCCCCTACACAGATACAAAATGCTTCTTAAAACATGTATGTTTTGTATTTTTTTTTTGTAGAATATTTTACTTGAAATATTGGTGTTTCATTTCTAAGTGCTGTGTTTTGCTTTTGTGTGTAATATCTGAATGTAATTTCTGCAGTGCCAATTTGCCAAAGATGTTTTACATTTTTTCTGTTTATTTCATTTCTTAAGGATTGGAATGGCCAGTATTTTTGTTTACCAGGTTTTCTCTGTCAGTAAATTTGTGAACTTATTCTAAGTTATATGGTTGACTGCAAACTTTTAATTTTAATTTTATTTTTTTAGATTAGTTGAAGAAACATGCAATAAGATTGGCGTAGATTCAATATCTGTGTGTCTTTCCATTGGAGTGACTGTTACTTGTGAACAATTGAATTTATGTAATCTTTATGTGAGATAATTATTTGTAAATATTTATCATAATTTTATTGGTTCGAAAAATAAAAGTAATTTTTTAAGTTCACAAATGCGTATATTTAAAAAAAAAAAAAAAAAAAATATATATATATATATATTGACTTCAATGTAGTAATTACCACTTAAATCCAGCAATGCATTTTGATTGAACATGGCAGAAAAAGAATTGAGATAGTGAATGAATAAAAAATTAATAGTGAATACTTGACTAGAGTGAAAAGTATATAGAAGAGAGTTAAAAATCTCATATCATTCCTGCAGTGGAGTCAAAACAAATAGAGCTTCGCCATATTTATCATTATCATTATCAATGTTCCAGTATAATGTATACAGATGTTCATATGGTCCTAAGGCATGGTGAAAATAGGATTTTTACACATTGAAATAATATGACATACTCCAACTGATGAAAAGGAACAATGTGTTAAAAGATGGTTGACACTCCTTTAGATTACTAAAAAAGAAAGGTGGTTATCAGAAATTAGAACACTATGATGGACAAAGAATTTAAGTTAAGCAAAATCATATACATGCAATAAATCTACAAGCATTTTCATAACAAACGCTACACATGAGAAGATATCTATTGTGGGAAACTACAATCTCAAAGTCAGTAGTAGGGTGGCATCAAGATATATTTCCTGCATTTATCCTTGCTATATTGTAACAAACTGGGCAACCTCATCCCTTCTTTTGTAGCAATACAGCACAGTGTATTTGCTGCTGCACTGACTTTTATATGAGTGTTAAAATAGGTATTGATTTATTTTCAATATCTACTACATGCTTTGTTAAAATGTAAAAGTTTTTAAGAGTTTAAAAAATATATTATTATATATTTTTTATATATACAGTGGTACCTCGGTTTACGAATGTAATGCGTTCTCCGGGACGTTTTTTATTGCGAACAATTTGTAAACCGAAACGTGGTTTCCCATAGGAATGCACTAAAAAACAATGAATCCATTCCGAAGGTCAGAAAAAAGTCAAAATGAGCTGGCATGGAAACCAACCCACAATGCAGAACACACAGTAAAAGGAATGCAATCACGAAGCACAGCTCCCTACCTTTCCACCACTTGAGAAATGCACCAAAAAAGTTCCAAAAAGTCCCAAAACCGCTGCAAAAAAATTCCAGAATGGCTCCAAAACTCTATGCAAAAACCGCTCCAACACCTTCACACTCTACGCCATGTGCTACCCATAGACTCCAGCATGCATGGGGGCAGCGCTATAAACCTCCCAGGTGCAATGCATCCTGGGGAAACATGCTTTGTATTGCGAAAATTTTTTTTAAACAAAGGCATTTTTAATGGATTTATAAACCGAAAATTATGTGAAAATTATGTTAACCGAGGCGTTTGTAAAGCAAGGTACCACTGTATATCTCTCTCTATATATATATATCTATATATATATATATATATATATGAACCAGGGCTCGAGTCCTGCAGGAACTTTTTGACAAAAAAGGTAGTGACTGTTTTATCCAGTGGAAAATGTCTACTTTAGTACAATGCATATTTGAACAAAAAAGGTTTTCATTGGAATATTTACTCTAGTGAATAACTCTGCTAGTGTTGGTTTACTAATTTGTTTTTAGCATTTCCATTGTTCATTCAATTATGCCAGAAGATGAGTTTACATTTGGATAAATCGAAGGTAAAACGGGGCAGACAAGAAGAGAGAAGAAAAGTGAGGAGACATTCATGGTTTAAAATGGCACACATACACACACAGAAAGAGTACATATTTGCACATAAATCCAATAATGCATATTGAGGCAAAAATAAACATTGGAGAGTCTATAGGTGTCCTATGACCAGTTAGGAAGTATAGGTACACCAAGAACATCATATACATTCAAGTACTGTACCTGTTTGATATAATCAAATATCAAATATCAAATATAAAATCTTATAAAGTTAAGGAGTTCAAAAAAAGAAAGAGCTTATTCCTCTGGACAAAAGTAATTGTCAAGTAGCATTAAAATCAATGTACAATACATATTTAGCCAATGTGTTCTCCCGATGTGGGATGATATTAGCCCCTATCAGGTTTACAAAATGTTCTAGCCCAATTGTGACAGAACCGCATGGAGAGCATAACTGAAAAAAAATAACAATAGTCTAGACAAATGGTGCAATCAGGTGAGTCATATTAGGTCAGCTGGAGACCATAGATGACCTGTTGAATAAGCTTAAAGCATCAGCAGTGGATGCCACTATGCAATGGAGCATAGTAAGGTCATCAATAGGCTTCTTGACATGGCTAAAGTGCTAAGTTTATAAGCCAAAATTCTGTCAACTTTGAAGTGCCTCAACTTGGGTAGATGTGAAGTCATAGGTTTAAAAGAGTAAAAAAAAATAGAGCTTTCCTTGAGGGTTTTTGCCACTGCTATAGATCACAGATGGTTTTCCACCACCTTCACCTGTAACTTTCATCTGTAGAGGACAGGGCTATCATGAAGAAATTGTGATAAGAGTTAAACAATGTCCCCTTTGGAACAGACACAAATTAGTCTGCAAGAGTTGCAATTCAAGGACCAGGCATTCCATTACTTCAACTATCTTGCCATGCCTCCACTTTTCACAAAACGTCCTCCTTACTGCAAGGTAACCAGTGTAGTTCAACCAAAGAATGATGACTATGAACTGAGCTACTGACCGGACTCTCACACTCACAGCCAATCACTGTTCTCTAATTATCTGTAAATTATTGCAAAGCCATGGGAAAGGTGACAAATAACAAGTTGCTCGGCACTAGTTTCTTATTGGCTGAGCTGATTACATTCCCGGAATAATTCTAATAAGGAAGCTGCTTTGTGACTTGAAGAAATCTAAGAAATCTGTAAAACCTTGTTTTTTCCCAAAAATAATGAGAACTAATGAAAAATACAGCATGAACATGAGGTCACAATCTAGCAATTGCACTTGAAGGGTGTTTGTGTTTTGAATGTGGCTACAGTATTCTTTATAAATTGTTAATGACTTAAAATTAGACTTAACTTCAGTTGTCATTGTTAATCACATATTGATGAGGTTGAAACTGATTCTGAGGTTAATGACAAAAATAATGGCTCTGTCGTTAAATGACCTGACTTGTCTGTTTGCCCTATTTTAGTGCAATCATAATGATAATAGGTGGTGTGTTATTAAACTGTTGTGTATGAAATTGACCATTATATGTGTGTATGTTTGCATAAGCATATTTAAACTTTGCATTGTTATAGTGTATATGTCTATTTGTTGTGTTATCAATTTTGCTATGTAATTTTGCTGTTTTAGTGCTTATTGGTAGTTTATTTACTTTAACTGATTAACTAAGAATCATATCAGTTTTAAAGCAAACCATTTTTTGGAAACACCAATGAAAATCCTCCTTTAAAATTGTATAATTGTACCAGCACAGTTGCAAAATAATGTTGAGATTACATATCAAATACTTACATAACCACATATATAAGAGAGGCAATTGCATAATATAATTAAAATATGACATATTTCAATTATAATAAAGCATTTGCAACAAGCAAGATTAAATACATTTAGAGTTCATGAATATCCCTGCTCTTTGAGAACTGTGGTCCTCACTTCATTGACTTGAAGAATCTACTTGATCTTTCTAGATGACTTAAAAAGGTGGTAAACTAAGAAGATTCAGTATTGTAGTTTGTGGTTAAGTCATGTAAGCTCTTTTTGATCAGAGTTGAAAGGAAGTATTACGTTGTTTGAATATTAATATCTAATCTAAGCCTGATATGTTGTAAAGCATGTACAAATCTGCTTTATAGAGATGAAGAAGGGCAGACAGACAGGCAGTCAGACAGAGATAGAGACATACAGACAGATAGATAGATAGATCTTCCCAGAGCTGATCTTCCACACACCCTCCGTCATATGAGCAGCACACTGTCCAATCATAGAGCAGCCTGTGATTGGACAGCTCAGAGCGCATGTGCATGCTTCGAGAAGGTGAGGTAAGGGAGGCAGAGGGAGTAGAGAAGCAGAGGGAGAGTTGTAGGGGAAAGTTAGGTGGTAGGGGAAGATTTCTGTTGTTAGTTATTAGTACATGCTGACAGCATACATATAATTTGCAGAAAATTTACATTGGTAACGTGTGCTGGGGGGCTGCAGCTGGCTCCTAGCACTCAAGTGCAAATATCTCAGTTTGTTTCAAGTGGAAAAACTGCACATACATACTTCTATCACTATGACCATTTCAAATTATTGAAGTGGGCATGGGGACTAAAGTAGGCCTTTAAAGAACCACTATAGTGCCAGGAAAACATACTTGTTTTCCTGGCACTATAGTGCCCTGAGGGTGCCCCCACCCTCAGGGTCCCCCTCCCGCCGGGCTCTGCTCCGACCTCGCGAGAGGAACCCGGCGGAGCTGCTGGCTAGAGCTCCATGGGTCCTCTCCGGTCTCCCTCCCTGCCTATAGGTCGGTGAGGGAGATGCACAGCCCACGGAGGGATGCACGGTGAGGGAGATGCACGGAGGGATGCACATAATGCACATAATGCGGGCCACGGGGATTAGGGTGTGCCCAGACACACCTGGCACACCCCGTGCACACGCCTATGATTACATCACAACCAGGAAGTACACTGCAACATGCTGACATCAAGTTTTGCCTGTCTTCTGGAGAGAGAGATACTGGCGGGGAGATAATAAGAGGACGCTCGGACCGATCAACCCATACTATCCAGGACTCTGCTTACCAGCTTCTACAACAGTGAGCTTTTCATGCTGGTTTTATTTGCAAGTTTTAATTTACATTTGGCAATAAAGTGTTTTCTGCTTTTACCTTCCGCTTGGTGATGACTCCATGTAACCCATAATAGGATCCAACTATCTCAAGGGTCTGATCCTCCCTATGCTGGATAGTTTGGAGTGGTACTATAACCACACCACAACTGTGAGTTAAA